CCGTGTGCGAATTCTACGAAAAGGATGGCTTCTCTACCTTGCTGCACCTATTCCAGTCTCAAAGAATATTCCTCGTCGAACAACTCGCAATCATTGTAGGGGGTTTGTGATCACGTTGCCATCCCTCGTCCGATATCCTCCATAAAGTTAAGTTGCAACCGACTGGTTGTCGAAAAACGTGTGTTGTGTTAGAAAAAGAGAAAAAGAAAAGAAAAAGAGGAAATTGCTCCGGAGTCACCTTCCTAGTTAGATAAAGGCAAGAAAAGACAAAGTGGCCCCAATGTCACTATTTGGGTTTCAAATGTGCAAGTTCAGCTGGGGGTTGAAACTGCGGCTTTTTTTTGAAGTGGCGCGAATGTGGATATAGCGGCGTTTTTTTTGGCCCTGTTTCAAGAGCTGCTAAAGTTGCCGGTTTCCAATGCTTGGTGTGACCCAGGAACCGTTGCCGATTTTTGTTCTTGCTCCAAGCGTATACTAGATCAAATCTTCCACCTCCCTCCTTGAGCTTACTGAACATGATGTCAGTTCAAGTGATAAGCCCCCATTCCAAGAGGCGTCGATGTTCGCTACGACCTCCCTTTTTACTGCAGCCAGCGAGTGGGACATGAATCGGAAGGCCCTGGAACAGAGTCTGTCGGCTCAGCCTCCGCAAAGGCAGCCACTCTCGCAGCTGCCTCGCGTTGCTGGTGGTGGTGAGATTATGCTCTCAATGACATTTGGATCCGGTGCTTCGGTTCTTCGTTGGTGAATATCAATGCATATCTGCTTTCTTGACAGCGTTAGACTCTCTGGCTTTCAATGTGATTTTGCATTCTGGAATTCTGTCATTTCGCTATCGCTCATTTTCCTTGCAATTTGGTATCAGAGCCGTTTCGAGCCGCTCCGCTGGCTCCTTTGCAATAGCTGTTTGGTGCTTCGCTGGAAATTGTGGGGAGAACACTTGTGCGTTGTGCTGTATAGGCGACCCAGTGTCGTCTGGGTGGGCCAGGAAGGCTATGTGGTGACATAGGGGTACACACTCGATGATGAGAGCTCGCTGATGTGGCATTTACGCCGAGGCGGAACTGCATCGCATTGTGGGTTGTGCCGAGGCATGGACCATGGACTGGTCATCATAAATGCACATCAGGTTACTGGTGATAAATCTGTGGTTGGGGGCAACATTGAGAGGTACGTTGCTCCTCACCTTATTTACCCTCTTCGAGGAAGTGAGTTCTGTCTTGAGAGTCCTCTCACTGTGACGTGTTGCGAGCGCTCAACCTTGAGAGTCGACATTCTTCCTGGGGAGTAAGCTGGTGGGAGACGAGCGTTGCGTCTGAAGTGCCCTGGACGAAGCACTCGGGTCACGGTCACCATGCCAACCCGTTGGGACTACCGTTTTCCCCCGAACATAACGCATATGCGTTGTATTCAAGTTTTCCAAAAAAACAGGTTTTGGGAAAGTTAAACCCTTTTCTTCGAATACAAGGGCACTTTGAACATCACACATATACCTTCTATTCAAATAATACACATATGTGTTATATTTGAACTTCACAAAGAGTAAATTGTTGTATTTGAATATAAACTCCCCTCCCCCCCCCTCCCCCCGAAGGTCAACGCCTGCTCTGTTCTTGCCCTGGTGAACAGGACAGGCCCGTGCAGGCCCGTAATCATAGATCACTGCCCCTGCTCTCTCTCTCTCTCTCTCTCTCTCTTTCTCTCTCTCTCTCTCTACGTGCGCGAAGGTGCTTCTGACAACCAAGAATGTGGCGCAGCCAAGAAAGTGGGAAAATAAGAAAGCCACTCACCAAGGTCTCGCTGCACTACCGTGGTCACCGAGACAAAAAAGAAAAGGGTTGTATTTGTCCGCGGTCTAGTGGAAGATTCATTCGCACTTTGCACATTTGCTGAGGAGTGGAGCAAGGGCCTAAGTAGGGGAAAGGAATGAAACTCGACCCAGAACATGGAAAGGTATGTCACGACTTTACTTTTACCTTTCTGCCAAGGGTCTGAGGCCCCCAGCCGCGGTCCAGAACTGAGCCTATTCAGCCTGGACCCGACCCCCTTGTACAGGCAAAGTTGGTCTCGTTCACTCGAACATAACCCATATGCGTTGTCGACAAATACAACGGATGGTATGTGTTGTATTTGTTTACAACGCATGTGCCTTATGTTCGGGGGAAGATGGTAGTACATGCATGCTTTGCCGCTTGTCCTTTGGTCTGCTTGCTGCACTGTAGAGGTCATGTCAGGCCGGCCAGCCCTATAAGGGAGAGACGAGCGCCGGAGTATAAAAATCGTACGGTCGGGGCTGGCCAGTTCTATATTGACTTCGGGCACAGGGGTGGGCCAATTGCACACCTCCAGACATGCCGCTGAACCAGAGCTTCAGGACGTCGACACAAAGCGACTTACTCAAGAGGGATACAAGGGGAGGGAAGATTCTAGTAAACTGCTCGGTTGTTAATCATTGTACATTTCCATTCTGCATGCACACCAACAAATGATTTTATTTCTATTTTTGATTACTTAGTTGCTACGGACTTTGCTGACAACTAACAGACAGTTGCAGATATAGTGAATATATATATATCGTCACAAACAGAACTGCCTGGTAAACCGTAGGCCGAGAGAGAGAAGAGGACAACAAACGAGGGGCTGTGACAAACTGTTTCGTCGGAGTTTCACCGACTCATCAGGAGGCTGAACCCTCAACAGTCTGCAGAATCCCCTCACTGATTACACTGTAAATGATAATCTACCTTAACCAAAATCAAAGTAGACTATCACTCACCCACACCAGATGGAAAACTCTACAGACTGTCGGTTCACACCCCATCACAAGCCAGCAAAACATCCACGAAACAAAGAAAGGTCTGTCACAGCCAAAAAATACACTCCAGACACGCCGCTGGCACTAGAGGCATATATATTTAGATAGAGTAGTGAATATTCTTTTTTTTTTTTTTTTTTTAAATAAAGTAGTGAATATTCTTTCTTGGCTGCATTGCGATCTGTTTCAGACTAGTCAAAAGTAGGGAATATAATTGTTAGTAGGAAGCTGAGATTATCTGCTGTTACTGCTTGGCTACTTTCTGACAAAGCTGGATCAAACTTTTTTTTTTTTTTTTTTTTTTTTTTTTTTAATCAGTTGGGTGCGATGCTGCGCTAGGTGGCCGCGAGGACACTAGTGCAGATTGCAGGCCACACATAGCTCACGAGTGGAGATGACAGCGGGGTTGAGGGACCAGAGGATTTTACCCCTCGGCATACTTGCGTAAGGCCCCTGCAGCGAGCGTGTGCCTGCCCTAAGTGAAGGCGGCCCCCTGAATCTCAACGAGCCCTGAACTCGTCAAATTTCGCAAATCTTGGTGGGCGCCAGACAGTTGGCATGCGCCAATTGGTTACATCCGCCTTGCTCGTGAGAATCTGAAATATTTGTGAGCCTTTCAGGCTCTTCCAGCAACGTGGTCGACGCAGGGAGCACCACACATTTGTGCCTGGGTGCTTGGGATTGCCTAACCAATTCCGTTCCAGGCCACTGTCTGAACGGGCCTGGGCGCAGACACTTTGGCCAAAACTGAAGCTACTGGAAACTCGGTCTCATGGGGCAAGCCAGTGGTACCGAGCCCGCCACTTCCATATAGGAAAGGGCCGGGCTGCGTATGGGATATTTGGGCACTACGCGGTGCATGTGGCAGCGCAGCTTGAGCATGAGCTCAGGGGCTGTGTGCTGTGCGCTACCGCTAGGTGCCGGGCAGTGCGCGCGGGCGCGGGAAGAAGGCAGGGCGGTGCAAGAAGGCAGCGCCATAGCCAAGCCCTCCATAGCCAGGGTTGGCTTGGAAGACAGTCAGCCGGCGGTGGTGGTCTTCATGTAGGAAGAAGAGGACGTGGGTGAAGAACAAGAGAGAGAGAGAGAGAGAGAGAGAGAGAGAGAGAGCTGTCTCTTATACACATCTAGATGTGTATAAGAGACAGCACTAGTGCAGATTGCAGGCCACACATAGCTCACGAGTGGAGATGACAGCGGGGTTGAGGGACCAGAGGATTTTACCCCTCGGCATACTTGCGTAAGGCCCCTGCAGCGAGCGTGTGCCTGCCCTAAGTGAAGGCGGCCCCCTGAATCTCAACGAGCCCTGAACCTGTCTCTTATACACATCTAGATGTGTATAAGAGACAGGGATGATGATGTGAGGGCACGTACCTAGTCTTGGCGATGGCCTACAGGGTTGGCATCTTCGTGTACTTCGGTTCTGCTGATGACGTCAACAGGTTGCATTGTCAATTCGTAGGCTGGGTAGTAGCTGTGTGATTGTAGTCTGGCCGCTGATCGCCAAGTAGGAGGAAGGGCTCTGAATACACATGTTGGAGGTGGCGAGAGTATGGTCTCAATGACATTTGGATTCGGTGCTTTGGTTCTCCGTTGGTGAATATCAGTGCATATCTGCTTTCTGGACAGCGTTCGACGTTCTGGCTTTCAATGTGATTTTGCATTCTGGAATTCTGTCATTTCGCTATCGCTCATTTTCCTTGCAAAAAGAAAACAGCAGCAAAAAAAAAAAAAAGGAAAAGAAAAAATCACATGGTCCCATGGATGAATTGCGCTTCGCACCTTGGGCAGCTAGCTACAATCTCTTTGCCTCAACACAACACATCCGACACAAGACACCAACCACGAACGATGGGGGAGGGGCAGGAGGAGGCAAGGGTAGAAATCGAGGAAGGTTGGGGGCTAGAGGAGGCAAAAGGGGGAGGAGGGTAGAGGGGAGAAGGCCCCGCGAAAGAGGTAGAAGCTGGGGGAGGAGAATCAGCAGCGGGGCAGACAAGCGCAGGGCGGGGAGGGGAAGGGCAGGGAGAAAAGAGGAGGAGAAATGGGGGAGGGGCAGAAAGTGCCCGCGGGGGCAGGAACTTAGGGAGGCCAGAATAAAGGGGGAAGCAAGTAGGCCCACTGTCCCGAACCCAAAAAAAAAAAAAAAAAAAAAAAAAAAAAAAAACGGTTAAAAAAACAGTGTCCAGAATCACTTGCATGCAATTCATTCTGGCAAGCGGTTCCTTCCTTTTTTTTCCCGCAACAACTGGATCCGTTTTTTTCCCGCAAAAAGTAAGCACATCTGTGAAAAAAAGACAAAAGAATTTCATAAAAGGAAAACTTGGACCAATGTTGACAATCCTTTGGACTGTGAACATGCGATGTGGAGAAGATCAGATGAGACTTCACTGAACCTGGGCTGAAAGTTGGCCCAAATACGTACGTACGAGATTGCTTTGGAGACTGCAACCAGCTGTGCGATGCCATTCAATTACCATCTTCACCCGAACAGAACAGCTGGTCAGAATCCCTGTACCTGAGCTGAAAGTTGCCCCAAATGCAGCTATTGTGACCGAGTGTTACATTCCGGGGGGGGAGATGGTCGAGATGGTACCCATCCCATCCACTCCACTCGACGGAAGCCACCAACCCTCCAATCTTTTCGCCAGCCTAGCACACCCATGGCCTGCTTGATTTGGGCGTAGGCTCTCCCGGCCACACATTTACCTCCACTGAATTTTATTGCATCCGGCCCTCCAATCTTTTCGCCAGCCTAGCACACCCATGGCCTGCTTGATTTGGTCGTAGGCTCTCCCGGCCACGGATTTACCTACACTGAATTTTATTGCATCCGGCGTTGCAAAAAGAACTGGAAGCAGAAATATGAAACAGTCAGGCTGGGACTTTTCCAGGACGATACGTATCTGCCCTCAACTGTGGGAAGATTCAGTAGCGAAGTCCTAGTGTGACTACGAACGCCCTGATTCCGTAGAAGCACGCAGATGTATGTTTGCCTACCTATGTGTACATTTCTACTTCTATATCTATATCCATATCTATATCGAAATCTCATCAATATCCGTATCTGTACCTGTACCTATTTTAGAGTATCTAAAGATAGGTACTTATCCATCCATTCTTCTTATACACTGCTATGCGGGGGAGAACTTTCTCTTCCTCAGCTCACTCCCACTGGAAGTGCCCCCTCCTCCTCCTCCTCCTCCCCCTCCTCCTCCTCCTCCAGCACGCCCCCCTGCTCCGACCCCTCTGTTACGCCACGAAGGGATGACCCTTTCTCCGGCGTCCTCCTTGCCCATCCCCTTTCCGCTTACGCCACCGCTGCCGGTGCTGGCTGACGCTCCGCTCCTTGGACCCCCCCCCCCCTTCTCGTCCTGCCAGCTATGACCCCTGTTGCTGTTGTTGTCCCTGCTCACCTCGGCACGATCAGCCCGTCCTGCTCCTCGCGCGGAATCTCGTCTCTCCCTCGGCATATCTTTCTTCATTGTGGAAACGAGTCCCTCCTGCCGCCCGCCCATCGCAGAATCCACAACACGTCGTCGGTTGACGCCCCACGCTTTCCGCGCAAACTCCGGCGGTTCCCTCATGGGTATAGGAGCCGGCGCGGTGACGACTTCCTTTGCGCTCTCCCCGTCTTTTCCTCTGCTTCCTGCTCCCCCCGCCCCTCCCACCCCACCACCCATACCACCTCCTAGCACTCCTACTGCCCCCCCTCCTCCTCCCCCATGGCCGGCAGAACCAGCGGCAAAGCTGGTTCCTCGCACGGGGTCCATCGTCTGCGTCGATGCCCCAACGACCCCTCTTGCACTGGTTGCCAGACGGTTCGGACCGCTTGGGACAGTGGCCCCAGGAGGCGGCGGCGGTGCGTCTGGCGCCTTCGGCGGGACCAGATTATTATTATTATTATTATTATTATTACCTGCACCGACCGCCGGTGGTTTTGTTTCAACCGCTGCAGCTTCTTTCTTCTCAATCTCCGGCGGCGGCAAAGGCTGAGGAAGCCAAATTTTCAATCTGTTGTTCCGATAATGTTGCCAAAAATAGAATTGCTGTCGATGCACCAGTTCCTGCCCAGGAATCGCATCCAACGACCCGTCCCAGACAAAACCCTCCGCATGAGTCACCATATGAAATTCGCTGTGGAAAAAGGCCCAGAGAAGGGGGGGGGAAGAGAGCAAAAGCAGAAAATATTGAAGCTGGCTTGAAAAAAAAAAAGAAAAAAAGAAAGAA